TTGCACAATAAGACACACCGGACCATAAGACACACATTAGTTTTAGAGGAGGAAAACAAGGGGAAAAAATCTGCCTCTGCCTCCCAGCATCCATCCAGTACTCATCTTTGTGTCCTTGTAGCAAACAGCAAGCACCCTGGTCAGCTTCAGCATGTTATTGCAGCCCCAGCACGTGCTCGTCAGGGCTCCGCTCCATTACGCCCACCACCAGTCAACTGAACTGAGCTGCCATCGCCGCCAGAGAACACTGAAGCCTTTGCTGTTGAGAAGCAGCTGATCGGCGATTGGATCACATCCCGGAATACCACCGATCAGCGGTTCTAGGCTGCCGCCAATTGCCACCAATCGTCACTGATCAGCAGAACAGCTGATCGGCAGTATTCCAGGAGGCCGATCCAACTGCCAAACAGCTGCTTGGCAGCAAAGGCTCCAGCGTTCCCCAGCGGTGGTGAATGGCAGCAACGGTGATAGGCCGCCGCTGCATCAAATCCCTTCCCCCCCTGCCGCAATATTCACTCTACAAGACATACAGACATTTCCTGTCATAGACCCTGCTCAAGATGCCTGTCATCATTTGAAATACAAAGTGTAGCATAATTTGGACGTTCTCTAAGCACATTGTGTTTGACTTACAGCACTCATCATATTTGCATTCTTAGCATTTTATCCATTTTATTTAGAACTGGAATAAATTAAACAAAGGAAAAGGGACCATGTTTTTAGAACATAGGGTAGCACATGGAGGTTCAACTCTTACTTACTTTCCCTTTCTCACTTTTGCTAAGTTGTTAAGAGAAGTAAAACTGCAAGAGGGAATTCAACTGCGAAATGTATTCTCCCTTCCCTTAGAATTATATATTTTGATTTATACACCAAAACTGTGTTTAGACATAACCCAGCTAGTTCTACACAGAACAAATTGATTTATACCAAGAATGCTTAATTAAGGCAGAAAGAGCTTGGGGGAAAACATTCACTTGTCTAGCAAGTTCTTTTTGGTTTTTTTTGCCAAGATCACAAAAAAACTTTGAGTTTAATTGCTATCACTGGATAATTCTCCAATATATTTTTGTCTGTGTAAATACCTTGTGTATAAGCCTGTATGCGTAAGATTCTCCATTAGGCCACTTAGGCATGTATGTGGGAGAAAATAATGTGCCACATAACTTTCTATGCTCTGGATTTGCAACTTCTCCTCAATGAGAGCACAAATGAAAGAGATTCACTGGGGCATATTATTCCAGCTTGCAGGCTTATTTTATTGCTTTTCAGTTTTTCTAACCTGCCCTTCATTTTGACATATTCTAGGAATGGTACGCAATTAAAGTAATAGGGTAAAATAATTAGTGAAATCCCTTCAGTGAGAGTAAATTTCTTTTTTTAGATGTTCCTTTGATTTATTTTCACATTAATTACAATTTTATATTTTATCTATTTTGAATATTATTTGGGGGAGAGAATTTAAATGAAGTTATAAATAAACATGAAGTGGGAAATAAGTCTATGAAAAACCAGACACAAGAAAGTCCATTGATGGTGGCAGGTAACAAATGTAATGAAGGAAGGAGTAAAGTCCATAGTACTTCACATGGCATATTATATTGTGTTAGTGGTGCCAGTCATGCTTCTTCAGGTAAAGTATACAGTAGTAGAACTGCGGTTCCGTTACAAAAAAAAAAGTCCTTTTCTTTAGGTGTATGTAATACTCTACCTAATTCAGGGATGTCAAACTCTATTTTATTGAGGGCTGCATCAGAGTTGTGCTTGACCTTGGGGGGCCAGGGTGGGCATGGGCAACATGACATGACATGACTTGTGACATATGTAGTGGTCCGAATGCTCTGCCAGTGAAAATGGGCTGCCAAGCTCCATTTCAGCTGCGACGGCCTCCTGCAACCCTCTACCAGTGAAAACCCGCGGCCCTCCCGAGCTCTGTTTTTGCTGGCAGAGGCACCGCAGGCTGTTCCTTCAGTGTTTCCAGGGTGGCCCCATGGGCCAGATCTAAGCACCCGTGGCCGTATACGGCCCCCCGGCCTTGAGTTTAACACCTCTGATCTAATTGGTTGACCATACTTGAAAACTGCCTCACCAAAATAATTTAATGCTCAGTCATTTAAACCTTGAAAACTAAACATCATCATCTGGACATGGGTTCAGAGACTAATGGGCTACCAATTCTTCAGAAATGAATGCAGAATAGTTTCACATAACCAAAACATTCAGAACTTGTGATGGAGGGGGCCTCGATGGACCGTAACCTTATCTCTTTTACAATCTACTAGAACAAATGAGCCTCACAAGCAGTTTACACTAAACTGTTTTTATTTACATAAAATAAAACAAGATCTATTCAAAAAGAATATTAGATGTCATTCTCTTTCTTAAGCGTCCTGTCAGCTCTCTGGTGCAATCGCTCTATGCGATTGGAGTTCGGGCTTTTCTTCCTCAGAAGAAAGAGGCTTTAGTGACTTCAGTTCTGCCTCTGATCCCGAAGAGTCACACAATGTCTGCTGGCAAGCATCTCCTTTTATACTGTCACAGTGGCAGTTAGGGGAGGGCATAGAAAAGCCTGGGAGATTCAAAGCCAGGAGCTGCTCTCTGATTGGCTTATTTAATTGTCTAAGCCAAAGACCATTAATAGGCACAGCAACTGTGAGGGAATTTTTCTCTCACAGAACCATTCTGGCAGTAGCTCTTGATGTATTTTCAAGGTTAGCTCAACATACTGTACAATTGATCCTGTTCCCGGACTACATGAAGAGCTCCAGAGCCAGGGGTGGGTTGCCCCCGGTTCGCACCGGTTCTATAGAACCAGTAGTAAAACCGGCGGGAGGCTCCGCCCACCGACCCTGACGTCATTGCGTGCAACCCCATTGCGAACCAGTAGTAAAGGTAAGTAGAACCCACCCCTCTCCAGAGCCTTTGGTACAGCTTCTCCTCTGCCCCAACTTACTTCTCTTCTGTAAGTGTAGTCACTGTCAGATACCTTTGAAGGACACCTTTGTGGCAGATATCTTTGAAAATCCTATTTCTGCAATTGCAGTCATCAAAGTGTAGAAGTTCATTTCATCTAACATTTTAGATTCTACACCAGGGGTGTCAAACTCAAGGCCCGGGGGGCAGATCCAGCCCATGAGGTGCTTAGATCTGGCCCACATGGTCGCCCTGGAAACAGCAAAGGACCAGCCCACAGTTCCTCTGCCAGGAAACAAGGGAGCTCAGAAGGGCTGCGAGCAGCCCTCCCGAGCTCTATTTTCGCTGGCAGAGGGTCGCAAGAGGCTATTGCAGCCAAAAATGGAGCTCACGAGGGTTGCAGGCAGCCCTCCCAAGTTCCATTTTAGCTGGCAGAGGGTTGCAGGAAGCTGTTGCAGCTGAAAACAGAGCTCAGGAGCCCGTTTTCTCTGGCAGAGCGCTCAGGCCACCACAGGCACCGCCAACACGAGTGACATTGAGCTAGCCAGGCCCACCTTGGCCATGTCCACCCTGGCCCCCAAGGTCAGACACAACCCTGATGCAGCCCTCTATGAAGTCAAGTCTGACACCCCTTTTCTATACCAACTGGGATCTGTGGTAATAGACTACATTTGTAAGGATATTCTAGAAATTTAATTTCTTTCGGAATGGCCCATCATAATAGAGGCCTTTCCATAGAGTAGCAAGAACTGATGCTCCTCTCCTAAACAAATTCTCATCTTCCCTTCATTTTCCCCTTTTCCTTTTTTTCTTTTTTTAAAGATGAATAAAAAAGTGTTTGCTAAATTGTTAAATTGAAAAAGTCAGACACGTGTTTCTAGTACATATTTGTGTATGTTTTGAGCAAGCTGTCCACAACACATTATGAAGCTTTGGATATGGCCATCAAGGCCAAAACTGCAAATGTAAAGGAATGTGCAGGAAAGCTAACCTTGAGGAAAGGGAAGAAATAAGCAAACAGTGCAGAAAAATTTACACTGTCCTGAGAAAGAAGGAAGTGTGAGAAAATCAAAATATCTCTGCCTTAATTTTGTAAGAGATAAGGCAGAGGGAAACTTTAACAAGCTTTCAGGATTGTTATCTTTCTTTATTACAATTATAACATTGTCTGAATTCCTGCTGCTCCTGTTTCGTGGCCTTTTCCACTTTAAAGAGATGGAAAGAGAAGGGACAAGGAAATCTTATCAGTTGGAAGAAAGGAACTAAAATATTCTGGAAATGAAGGCTGAAGGATATTCATAGGATAAGAAATATTCTGTGTTGAATAATAAATATTCAGCCTGCTTGCACTGCAAGGTAGAACATAAGAGAGTTAAAAGATAATATGACAGAAGAACACACATGACCAAGCACTGAATATGCTTGTGAGAAGTTTTTACATAGTCCATATTCTCATGGTCTCATCTGAACATCTCCAGGGTACCTGTAGAGAGATGGCACCAATGCTGAGAGGATTTCTTGATGGCCAAAAAGCTCCATTTTAAAAACTCTGTAGTTTATTTTGGCTGGTCAGATATGCCAAGTAAATAGAATAGAACAGAATAACAGAGTTGGAAGGGACCTTGGAGGTCTAACTAGTCTAACTCCCTGCTCAGGCAGGAAACCCTACACCACTTCAGATCAATGGTTCTCCAATCTCTACTTACAAACTCGCAGCATTGGAGCATTCACAACTTCTGGAGGCAAGTTTTGTTTTTGTTTTTTATTTGATTTATATGCCGCCCTTCTCTGGAGACTCAGGGCGGCTTACAATGTGCTAAGCAATAGTCTTCATTCTTTTGTATATTTATACAAAGTCAGCTTATTGCCCCCACAACTGGGTCCTCAATTTACCTACCTTAGAAAGGATGGAAGACTGAGTCAACCTTGAGCCAGGCGAGATTTGAACCTGCAGTAATTGCAGGCAGCTGGTCTTAATAATAGGGTGCTTTAGACCACTGTACTACCAAGGCTCTACTGTACTACCAAGTTGTTCCACTGATTAATTGTTCTAACTGCAGGAAATTTCTCCTTAGTTCTAGGTTGCTTCTCTCCTTGATTAGGTTCCACCCATTGCTTCTTGTCCTGCCTTCAGGTGCTTTGGAGAATAGCACAAAATGAGGACAAAGAAAGAGATTCTGAACTGGACTGCAGAAGCCCAACTCCTAAGACCAAATCAGTTGGAACATTTGGAATCTGGAGGTGGAGTGAAGTGAATCTGGAGGTGGAATGAAGTGCCCAAGAAGTGAGTACTAGTTTGTTGGGTGTTGGGATCCCATGGGAAGGTGATTCATTTACATTCTTGACTTGCACAATCTCCTTTGTTGAGTGAGGATGATACTCATGATCAATGCTCAATACTCATTATACTCTCCTGGATCAATGCTCAATACTCATTATACTCTCCTGGATTTAACTGTCTTGCCTATTGTTGTTTTCTCCAGATCCTGGAATTCATTTGTTTTCTCTTGTTCCATAGCACTAACTACAATGAGCACTTGAGGAGGATCATTGGTAAAGTTCCCATTTTGAAGCTAGTAAATTGTTGGTGACAAGTCGCATGATGAAAGACAAAAAAGACAAAGCTCTTCATGTATATGAAGCTATATATATATATCATTTATATATAAGGGGTGTGCATAAACGCACCAGCGTGCCTACCGTCCCTGCCCTAATGTTTTCTTTTATTCGTATCCTTTTCATGTATTTATAATTATGTTTACACTGCTATCTGTCATAAAATACATGCTTGATGAAATAAATAAATAAATATATCTATTGTCATTAGGCTGAATTATAAACATATAACTAAAATTCAATATCTAAAAAAATGAATGATACCAACCAATCTCCTCATCCTTCAATCTGATCCAATGTCATTTTTCAGCCATGATGGAAAAGTTGGCACTCATGACATTTCCCAGTGCTAAGGAAGGTGACCCATTCTCCCTTCCATCCATCCATCCATTTGAATCTGGCTCTGACAGCCAGTAAGTGGTTAATTATTCATATAAAATATTTAATGGTATATGGAGTATCTGAACATGATTAAGAGAGAGCGTGAGACGTGATATCAGAGCTGCATTAAAATAAGAGAGATGCACTTAAGACATTAATGTTGCTGCTTCTTAGAAATTGCTTTTACCTCTGGAGATAAAGAGAATTTCTCTGTGCCATTCCTGAACCCACAAAATCTCTTATTCAGGCCTTTCCTATATGAATGTTATATGTGTTCTTTTCTCCCTATATTTTTTTAATGTTGCTTTGACTATTCCAGTTATTGAGCTTTTATTTTATGATGATTCTTGGTTTTTTAAAAAATTGAACGTAGATGATCCGGACAAAGGAAATAATATTAAAAGGTATGCTGCATTACAAAGTATATTGTACATGTAGGGTTATATGCTGCTTCAATTGAATATAACTCTAACTGGTTTACGCTTGCAATTTAGTCTTTTAACAAAGATTAAAAACTAATACATGTAATAATACATCCACCCACATAAAGACATACCAAAGAGCAATAGTCAAAAAACACAACTGTCAGAAAACACAAGTCCATTGAAGGAGGCATCTCCATTCCTATCTATCTCCATGCATCTTTTGGAACAGCGAGACTCAATGGCTTTCCTAATGTCTATCAGTCCTGGGGTCAATCTGATTTCGGAGGGAATGGCTTTCCACCAACGTGAAGAAGCCACACGTCTATGGAGAGTCTCAATCATCCAGGACATGGTTGTCCCAAAGATGCCTTTTCCAAAAGGCAACTGGACTTTCTTGAGTTTTGCTTTGTTTTTTAAAGACATTTCGCTTCTCATCCAAGAGGGTTCTGAACCAAAGAAGCTTCTTGGATGAGAAGCAAAACATCTTCTAAGAAAAGCACCTTGAGGAAGTCACAGAGAAGGGCCACCCTGTGGTCTATGATAACAGCATTCCATTGCAGTAGAGACCTAGATTTCTTCTTTCTAGAATTTGCTGGACAGGCAGGTACCACTGAGAGTAGTTGGCCTCATATCAACCCAGTGCTGGGCCATTCAGGACTTTCAAGATGCCAACCTGCACTTAGTCCTGACTAGGTGGCTCAGTGGCTAAGACACTGAGCTTGTCTATCAAAAAGGTCGGCAGTTTGGTGGTTTGAATCCCTAGTACAGGTCTCCTACGTGAACAGGGGGTTGGACTAGATGACCACCAAGGTCCCTTCCAACTCTGTTACTGAGTCACATCCTTAACCAGCCAATTGGTTATGTTTCTAGTAAGTTTCAAACAATTAAAAGCAGCTGCAAAGGAAGCATTCAAACATATCGGTAAGTGCCATGGATATTTCTGAGTGGGGTTTTGATCTTCATTGCCTGGTCAATCCAGCAGCCAAGTTAGTTAATTTCATATTTAATTTAAAGCAGATTTGAGTAGGTATTCTGTCTAAGTTTATTAAGATGCTACTAGAATAGATATGTTTATTTCTTTGCAGGTCTACAGTGCCTGCAGAAAATCACCTGCCAAATGGAATGTGCACTTCCTAAACACCTAACTAGCCAATAAGTGTTGCTTTGCCTGAAACTAGAAATCCTCTCTTGGCCATTTGTATGTATTCAATATAGGCTTAATACTCCTTGCATCATTAGACAATCATACCTTCAGAGTTAGATTTATTTCCACTTCTTAGACCTTACCTCGGAATTTTACCTGAACACAGTCACATAAAAGACCTTACTGAAATCCACACAGCAAATGAATTATAAATTATAAAATTATTATAATTTTCTTCTCTTAAATCGCCAAGCATTTCTTAATCTAACAGTTCCCGTGGAGGAAGAATTACCTAGTTTGAAGTTGAGTGAGGAGGCATAAACCTGTCTTCACTTGCATAGCAATCAAATTCCAAGGCTTGCAATCATTTTTTAAAATTTCAAAGCTATAATAAGGTATGCATGCTTCAAATCGAGTTTTATTGGAGTTCATGATACTACTTGCGATAGTTTCAAATGTACTTTTTTTTTATGCTGGCTATCAAATCTCCAGCCAAGTCATTGGCACTTTGTGCAGGTTTCTCAGTATTGTTGAATTGATATTAAGCAACAAAGTACACACCCACAAACACACCCACAAAAGAAAGGAAAGATGTATTGCAATGGTGTGTGCAAACTAAAACCATGTGCCATTATGAAGTCCAATGCTTTCCTTTAAAAAGCCTTTCTGAGTAGTAGGGGAAGTGGGTTTGGCAATGTAGGTTCAGAGGAGAAAACCATAGGGACAACTGATTTGGCCACATTTGACCTCATTCCCCAAATTAGACAACTTCCTCAAAGGGTGAAACCCTACCTCTCATAATGCCCATTCAGTGAGGAAAGCTACCTGATATTCAATTAGATTTCCATATTATATATCTCAGTAGATTCACATATATATGCACTTCTAGTTCACACATGAATTCATGAATGTTCTCTACAGTTTTAATGATTTTTTACTATTGTTATTGTTTTAAAATGTTTTTTTTTAATTTTAATAGTAATATATGTTTTGAATTGTAAGCCACCCATTTACTGAGATGGGCAGCCATAGAAATCAAGCACACAAATAAATAATAAATAAATCTGCTGCACCACAATTTACTGAGCTTCATCAAGATAAATTTTCTGGATATACCCCAATTACAATGACTGAGCTTAAAAATTGTGCCATGCTTTACCATTACAAGCTACATCAGAAATTGTATTAACTGATAAGGTAAGATGGGGTTTATTACAAGGACTGTGCAACTACTAGAGGCATTTTCTGAAGGGTTTGCAAGTCCTCGTTGTGACATGATTAACCTATTCTTATGTACTCTACAATGTTTTCACTATGAATTAACTACATCTCTGGTTGTGAGTGTGGTTATGTACTCATGCAGGTGTAGCAAGGCAGAAAACATTTTCTAAAATTCTTAATAAAGTACACAGGATGGACACTGGCCTTATTTTTATCCTCAGAATAAGATGAAACAATAAATTTTATCATTCAGTGTCAATTTAAAGAAATCCTCTCTGGTAAAGGTCCAACATATTATATATACACAATGATGTATATAAATAAAAACCAGTCAACTAAATATCACTTTCTATATACATGTGGTCTGTTTCATAGATGAATAAAAATAAGTGGTGTCCATCTTTGCCAATGGAATCTGGAGCTTCACCTGCAAGTGGAATCACATTATCCAGAAAATCAGGAGACTGGTGGCGCCTTTCCTAATTACCGTAGACTTTCTAAGCTAAACTTTCCAGCTTACGCCTTTTAATAAAATTTGGAAGTCGGAAAAGGTGCTATCACACTTTTGATTTTTTTTTAGCTGCCGTAGACTAATATGGCTCCATTCTCATAACTGTCCACATAATCTAGAATTAAAGATGAGTTCCTCACGGTAAATACAGGCTATGGGAGATTTACCTGCAAGCATAAGGTAATCTTTTGTAAGTCATTCCCTGCTGAAAATTATTGTCATGAACAAGAACATATGAGTACAGATAGTCCTCTACTTATAGCAGTTCATTCAGTGAGTGTCCAAAGTTACAACAGCACTGAAAAAAGTGCCTTATAACCAGGGGTGAAATCTACTTACCTTCCCTACCGATTTGAAAGCACACTCTGCTCACGCGCGTGCCATCATCACATCCAATTTTTTACCCTCTCTGCATGCGCAAAGCCTTCTGCACATGTGGAGAAGATCAAAAAAGGGTGGGTGGGCGGAGTCTAGCGTTCCCGCCGCTACCAGTTCGCCGAACCACCTGCTGCCACTACCAGTTCGCAAAAGCTAGACAGAATCAGCAGGATTTCACCACTGCTTATGACTATTTTTAACATTTACAATCATTGCAGCAACCCCATGGGCTCCATGGTTTAGGACCTGGTTATCTATGGGACCGCCTGCTACCACCAATAGCCTCCCACCGACCAGTACGCTCCCATAGAGAGGGGCTCCTCCGGGTGCCGTCGGCCAAACAATGTCGATTGGCAGAGTTCCCCCCGGAGATATGGAGGATCCCGGATCTGCATACCTTCCGTCACACGCTCAAGACTTTCTTATATCATCAAGCTGGCCTGACCTAAGTCTTTCCCCTTTTTAAATGGAAATTTTAAATTTGTTTCTAAATTATTGGGGTTTTAAATTTGTTCAGCCAAATTATTTAATTCGTTTTATTTTATTTTAAATTTTGTATTTATATGTTTTATTCTATGGCTGTTCACCGCCCTGAGTCCTTCGGGAGTAGGGCGGTATATAAATTCAATAAAATACAAAATACAAAAAAATACCTGCTCAAAATTCAGACACTTGGCAACTGACTCATATTTATGACAATTACACTGTCCCAGGGTCATGTGATTTCCTTTGCAATATTCCTGACAAGCAAAGTCAATGGGGAAATCAGATTCAGTTAATAACAACTGTGGCAAGGAAGGCTGTAAAATGGGAGAAAATTCACTTAAACAAACAAGACAAATGTCTTGTTTAGCAACAGAAATTTTGGGCTCAATTGTGGTCATAAATCGAGGGCTACCTGTATTTTCTCCATGTAAACTTACATTAGTGAGGTCTTCAACACACAGCCTGTTAAATGCACAAGCATTATGTTTATTCTAATAATATTCCCTTGGCAAGGCTTCTACTGGACATTTGCAAAGCTTTTTGTCTTCTTCTTATACTAAGGGTATTTTCTTGTCTTCAACAAACTGGCACCAGTCAGTACCTTACACATGCTTCATAAGCTGAATGATAAAATCAGAGATATTTATGAAGTCCTGACTCAGCCACAAAACATATAACTTCCTTGTTTCTGCCCATCTAAAAATAAAGGCAGATATTTTGATCTAACAGTGATAAACCTAATATGAGCATAAATTCTTCAGCTGGCAACCGATTGGTTCATAATGCCGTCCCCTTTGCTTCTCTACATGTCTTTACACTTAATGACAATATTAACAATTGTAATAATAGTAACAGCAAGAGTAAGATTTCAGAATGGATGCCAAGGAATTGTTAAACAACTTTTGAAGCCGTATCGGTCTTTATATTCATTTAGTGATGTCCTTAATAAAGAAGAGCCTCCCTTAAGTAAAACTCAGCTAATGGGAAATAGTTGGGCCACATAGTGATCTTGGCAACAAGTAATTTGGCAATGACTACTTCTAATATTTAACCTCTCCTTATAGCATATAGCCTAGGATTTCCTGATAGTCTCCCATCCAAGTATTAACAGGTCCAAATGTGCTTGCTTTTCAAAATCAGTCAAGGTCAGTGCTGCCACCTGGTGGGCATAACCTAAAATCTGAATAATACCAATCTTTCTAAGCTAAAATAAAGGGTAAAGGTTCCCCTTGCACATATGTGCTAGTTGTTCCTGACTCTAGGGGGCGGTGCCCCTTTCAAAGCCGAAGAGTCAGCACTGTCCAAAGACGTCTCCATGATCGTGTGGCTGGCATGATTAAAACGCCAAAGGCGCACAGAACGCTGTTACCTTCCCACCAAAGGTGGACCCTATTTTTCTACTTGCATTTTTTACCTGCTTTCAAACTGCTAGGCTGGCAGAAGTTTCTACCCTACTTCATTATATTTACTTAGTGACATAACTATTACAGCAATTAAACCAAATTCTAGAATCTAACCTGCCAGCAGGATTGAAGTCCGAAATGCATTTGAAAAAGACTCAAGGAAATGATATGGTTACCTGCTGTGACATACATATTGCACTAAATTAGTTTTATTAACCAGAGTTTATTAGTGCAGGGTTTCTCAGCTGTGTCCCATGGAACCCCAAGGTGCCATGAGAACTTGGGGCCCATGAAAAAGTAAAGAACCCCCAAAAGGCTTAAGGGCCACTTTGAAATGCAACCAAATACCTACCACCAGAGTTTTGCCTCTTGTTTTTAGAGGTTACAGGAAATTTGATTTTTAAGTAATCAGTTATTCAGCCTGAAAAAAGATTTAAACACCCCCCCCCCCCTTAGTAAATAGATTGCAAATCAGGGGTGGTATTCACTTACCTTCACTACCGGTTTGCAAATGTGAGAATGGGCCTTCCATGCATGTGCAGAGCATCAAAAACAGGACTTGATGACGTCCGGGCGGGTGGGCAGAGCCTCCTGCAGCTGCCGCTGCCAATTCGCCCGAACCGGATAGAACCGGCTGAATACCACCACTGTTGCAAATGGATGAATTATACCACCTCATTAAGCACAAACCATGGTTTAAAAGCCACACTAGGTTGGTTTACACAAATGCTAAGCACCAACCGGGCACCCACATTATTGTTGTGACCCAGGCCCAAGTGGTTAGTATTAAATACAAACAGTTCGAAAACAAACAGACTTTATTAGAACAGCTGAGAATTAACTCATTCTCAACGTAGTCCAAACTAAATTAAAGCAAATTCTTCAAAACACCATTCCACAGTTTATCACCTGACCTTGGGATAATTAGCCAAACTGCCAATGGCTTTTCTTCGCAAAAGTTCAGAAGCAGAAGATGCTGACAAGAGATAAGTGCAGCAAGACTATCAATGTTGTTTTATGATAAAGAGCCCAAGAGCCGTTGCTGGTCTTTTAAGCCTTATGGGAGGGGCCAATCATCTCTTGGCCCTACTCCCGAGTCGTCCACTCTGCTTTATCTGCTCCTGCCTTCTGGCAGCTCTTCTCATACGTGCACTAGGAACAGGCTCCCCCTGTTCCTTTGCCTCTCTACTGTCAGCCTCTAGAGGCTCCGAAGTTCACACATCACTCCCCGATGGCCCTGGCCCCATCTCTGCCTTCGACACAGAGCCCTCATCCGGGCCTTCCCCAGCCTCCAGGACCGGCCCATGTTCTTCCTCAGCCTCATCGCTGTCCGACTCCGCTGCCAGCTCCACAAGCTGCGGGTGGACCACAACAATTATGACGTTTGACCACGGGTGTCAAACTCATTCATGTCATGTGACGTATCACAATGTATCGTGACATTTCTTGCTTTTGCGGAGCTGGGGTGGGTGTGGCCTGCACGTGATGCATCCAGCCTGCAGGCCACCAGTTTTACACCCCTGACTTGGGCCAATGTGTGTAGCCAGTCACAGAAATGAAAATCACATGTGTGGTAGGCTTCAAAGTCCATTGGTATTTAGAAGTTGAGCTCAACTGATTCACTACCTCCAAGACCAGAGGACCATCATAGGAGACCCACTGGCTAAGCAATCATGTAATCTGAGGGGGAGGGAAATTTTAAAAAATCAAAATGGCAGCCACATGTGCATGATCAAAGTCCTGCCCCCTTTTTTGTGTGTCACACATATAACATAGACAAAAAAAGGCAGTGGGGCATTGATCAAGTAATTGCCATCTTGATTTTTTTGAAGCTTCTTGTGTGTAGCTTAACCATATTCCATCTACTCCTGAGCAGATCTCTGCAAGGTGTGGTTGCCCCAAAGACATTTCTTCTTAAGATGTCTTGTGTTGGAAAGGTAGGCCTCGATTTACAACCATTCATTTAATGGCCATTTGAAGCACTGGGAAAAAAAGATTTATGATCATTTTATGCACTTATAACCACTGCAATATCCTCCCATGGCCATGTGATCAAAATGTGGTCGCTTGGCAACTGGCATGTATTTATGACAATTGCAATGTGCCAGGGACACACTGTTGTGACCTAGGCCCAAGTAGTTATTACCAAACACAATCCTAAACAAACATATTTTATTAGAACAGCTGAGAATTACTTCATTCTCATCTTAGGCCAAATTAAGTCCAAATTAAGTCCAAAACTAATTCTTCATAAACAGTTCTTTGGCCTTATCACCAACCTTGACTTCTTTGGCACCCTGCCAAAGGCTTTTCTTGGCAAAAGTTCAGAAGCAAGAGACTGTGCCAGGAAATAAATGTAGCAAGACAAGAAACAATTGTAGCAATGTTGTTTTCCTACAAAGATCCCAAGAGCAGCTGCTGCTCTTTTAAGCCTTATGGGAGGGGCCAATCATCTCCTGGCCTTACTCCCGAGTTGTCCTTTTTGCTTTAACTGCTCTTGGCTTCTGGCACCTCTATGCGTGCATGCACTAGGAAAAGGCTCCTCCTGTTTCTCTGCCTCTCTGCTGTCTGACTCTGGAGGCTCCGGAGTCCGTGCATCGCTCCCAGATGGTCCTGGCCCCATCTCTGCCTCCAACGCAGAGCCGTCATCCGGGCCTT